TTTCCAAAAATAATTTACCAACAACAAGATACTATTATGTGTTTATTTAAACTTTTAAATATGACTATATAAAATTTTTTTTATTACTATGAATTTTAAATCGAATGTTGTTACTTTGTAAAGTAAAAAATATATTTACTCTAGTGATGTCAGCCGGCAAGCTCAGTGCCATCTGAGAGGTCGTTTTCATCAGCTGGAAAAGAAAAAAGAAATAGACTTGGTAAAAACAGTACAGTGCAGTGAAACCTTGTTTCAACGAATCTTATTTCACATTATGAAAATTCATTGAAACAAGATTACTAATCGCGTTTCAATGAATGAATGAAATTTTCTCATATGCCCGGCCATTCCGTTGTAACGAGGTTATACTGTATATATATAAATTTTTTTTTTAAAAAGAAAATTCAACCCTTTTTTGAATCGTTCTTATTTAAATTTTTGATAAAAATTTTATAAACGATAAAAACAATTGATTCTTTGGTAACTCGTATAAATATATAATATTTATCCGAGGTAAAAAGTTCTTGGCCGGCTAAAAGTTTATTAGATTAGCCAGCTAAGGTTTTTTAACGGCTGATATCACTAATTTATTCTATTAAGCAATTTAATAGTTCGTTCGAGTTAGCTTTTGAAAATGGTGATAGCGAGCATCATTGCTAAAGTAATTTTTTGTGATGATTCTTTCTTATGAAAAAGTTAAAAGTTGCATCAAGATAACGTAAAGTCGCTGCCATGATTTTATCAAATCTATATGATTATTATTTCTTTGGAATATTTTTCAGGAAATATTTTTTGTTTACAACAATAGCATTCAAGAGATTTCTAGAAGAGAGCAATAACGATGTTTAATAGCAGTAGGATCTGGTGTCATAAATGATGATGAAACTGTGGATTAATATACGTATTGGCTAATCAAAACTCCCAATCAAAAATTTAATAGTTAGTGACCTATATTTAGTTGTTAAAAGGATTTCTTCACTTGTGCAGATGATAGAGAAGAATTAATGAAATAGAATTTGATTTAATTAAATTAGGAATTCCGCACCATATTTAATTGTGGATAATAAACAAAACCTCTTTACTTTCCGAGACTGAAACATCTGCCAATCCTTCACGACAAACTACAGGTGCATTTCTTGTTAACTTTTTTGTTATTTTCAATTGGACGCATTGAATAAAACCTTGTGTTAAACTTTATACCTTGATATTTATATTTACCCAATCTGTTGTTTTAATACTTACTATCCAGAATAAGTATCATTTCTTTTTGTTATTATATATATATAAGTGTAGCTTTACTGTATTTTTCAAATGCTTGAAACACCTTTCTTCTAACTCTACATTTTTTTGAATTGCTTGATAATATATTAAATAGAATTTGAGCTTTCTATTGATACGTTTTAATGCCTGGTAATTGCTCCCTGGCAGCTGCGAAATGGTTTGTTATCTAATATTAAATGCAATGAAATAGCTAACTTCCGAATTACTTCTTTGATTGACAGTTATAAATTTCATATTGTGAAGTAGCTTTTTGGTAACATCGATCATTTCATGTTTATGGCCAAGTTCGAATTAGCTTTAATTTATTTTACGAATTTATTTAATAAAATCATCAATTATCTCATTTCCAGATATCCAAGTATTGAAAAAACAATAGTACAATTTCGTTTTTAAAACATGTATAAAGTAAGCGTATTTTATCAATGATGTTAAAAGTGTGGTTAAATCACATGATTTTAACTGGAAGAGTTTTGGGATGCTGTCAATTCTAGCAACCGGTTACTTGCACATCTCACGTTTTTCCACATCCTCATATTTCAGTCAGTCAAAG